CGAAGGACTGCTGGGCCCGCATCCCGGGTCCGCCACAACAGGAGGCCTCATTACCGGCCAAGCCGCCCAAGGATCCACCGAAACAGGCAAGTCGGCACGCACCAGACACCCGGCAAGGCTTTACACCTCACCCATCACCTTCGTTGTGCGGTCATAGTGTTGTTGTTAAAGAGGGACCTTCGACGGGGCCTTGTCGCTCTGTGACGCAGTGGCGCAAATTGGCACGGAGGGTTGTTGCGGCCGCTACGGGTTCGTCCACCGTGCCGGGGTCTGTTGCTGCCGACTCTCCCCCGCCTGCGTCCATTGATCTTGCTAGAGCGCCTGTCGTACCTGTTCCAGGCAGGCCGGCCTTGACACCGGAGGGGACGAGGCGCTCTGCTCGGAGGGTGCCTGCCAGATCTGCGGGTCCTTCGAGCCCTGCAGCCCTTCCGACCCCGCTGCAGACGCATCCGCGGGACAAGCCCAAGACTGATCCTTCAAGGACACGGGACGTTGGTGGACTTCCAACAGCGACAGGGGGATTTCACCCTGTCGCTCCTCAAACTCAATCACGTTCCCGTTCCGCGGATGGGCCGCCGACCGTCCGGGACGGGCCGGCGACCCGCACACGCTCTAAATCCCTTGTGTTTCGTTGATTGTTATGTTGTATTGTTCTTACTGTGTATTTATTGCCTGCTTCTGCTACGTTATTGATTGTTGAGTTGTGTTGATTGTTCTTACTGTTATATTGCATGCTTGGTGTCCTTTGGTGTGTTACGCTCGGGTTCGCCCGCATTACTGTTGGTGTTGTTCAGCCGAGGTCGGCTGGGTTTTTCTCCACGGGGGAGGGTGGTGTAATGCGGGCGCGGGCGACCTCCCGGATGTGACGTCACGGAGAGGTGGAGTTAGGTGACGTGGGAGGAAAGGTTAAGGTTCTTAAGGGAGGAGACCGGAAGAGGAAGGCAGAACGAGTGGGACTGGACCAGAGTAAGGCCACGTGGGCAAAGCCAAGGGGTGGCAGCGGCGGCCAGCGGTGGCCAGCTAAGGGAGCAGCCAGCGGAGCTGCGAGAGAAGACAGCGGTGGGGCGGCTGGAGAGAAGGCGGACGAGGAGCTGCGGGGAACACAGCCGGCGAGGCTGTGTGTGAGGGAGAGGCTACGAGAGCGACGAGAGGAGAGAGAGGCTGAGAGAACGACGAGGGGAGAAACTGCAGGAGAGCAGTATCAGTGTCAGTATAGAGTCTTATAGAAGGACAGCCGTGCGGGTTAAGAGAGAAGAACCGAATAAAGGACACCAAGCCAGACATCGTGGTCGAGTCCTTTATTACACACGTGTTGGTGTGCCTATCGACATTGTCAGTCCGCGTTAGCTGTGTTTGCCCGTCTCTCTGTCCCGCCCGCGTACCCTCCACCCCCCAAGTGTACGGTGGAGCTGTGGCGGAGTGGGTGGTGTAGTGGTGTGGGTGGTGTGGGTGGTGTGGGTGGTGTAGTGGTGTGGGTGGTGTGGGTGGTGTAGTGGTGTGGGTGGTGTAGTGGTGTGGGTGGTCTGGGTGGTGTGGGTGGTGTGGGTGGTGTAGTGGTGTGGGTGGTCTGGGTGGTGTGGGTGGTGTGGGTGGTGTAGTGGTGTGGGTGGTCTGGGTGGTGTGGGTGGTGTGGTGGTTGTGGGTGGTAGTGGTGTGGGTGGTCTGGGTGGTGTGGGGTGGTGTGGGTGGTGTAGTGGTGTGGGTGGTGTAGTGGTGTGGGTGGTCTGGGTGGTGTGGGTGGTGTGGGTGGTGTAGTGGTGTGGGTGGTCTGGGTGGTGTGGGTGGTGTGGGTGGTGTAGTGGTGTGGGTGGTGTAGTGGTGTGGGTGGTCTGGGTGGTGTGGGGTGGTGTAGTGGTGTGGGTGGTCTGGGTGGTGTGGGTGGTGTGGGTGGTTGTAGGTGGTGTAGTGGTGTGGGTGGTGTGGGTGGTGTAGTGGTGTGGGTGGTGTAGTGGTGTGGGTGGTGTGGGTGGTGTAGTGGTGTGGGTGGTGTAGTGGTGTGGGTGGTGTGGGTGGTGTAGCGGTGTGGGTGGTGTAGTGGTGTGGGTGGTGTAGTGGGGTGGGTGGTGTAGTGGTGTAGCGGTGTGGGTGGTGTAGTGGTGTGGGTGGTGTAGTGGTGTGGGTGGTGTAGTGGAGTGGGTGGTGTGGGTGGTGTGGGTGGAGTAGCGGAGTGGGTGGTGTGGGTAGTGTAGCGGAGTGGGTGGTGTAGTGGAGTGGGTGGTGTGGGTGGTCTGGGTGGTGTGGGGGGTGTTGGTGGTCTGGGTGGTGTGGGTGGTGTAGTGGTGTAGTGGTGTGAGTGGTGTGGGTGGTGTAGTGGTGTGGGTGGTGTGGGTGGTCTGGGTGGTGTGGGTGGTGTGAGTGGTGTGGGTGGTGTAGTGGTGTGGGTGGTGTAGTGGTGTGGGTGGTGTAGTGGTGTAGTGGTGTGGGTGGGGTGGGTGGTGTAGTGGTGTGGGTGGTGGAGTGGTGTGGGTGGTGTGGCGGTGTGGGTGGTGTGGGTGGTGTGGTGGTGTAGTGGTGTGGGTGGTGTGGCGGTGTGGGTGGTGTGGCGGTGTGGGTGGTGTGGTGGTGTGGGTGGTGTGGGTGGTGTGGTGTGGGTGGTGTAGCGCTAACAGCAACTTGCCCCGCCAGTCTGTCGAGGCTATACGGGGGATCTTTGTCTATTGTTGGAGCTGCAGTGGATAGCGACGTCCACTGGGCTATGAACCCAGTGACCGGAATTTGATTGCTGATCAATAGTGAACATCAGTGATCAATGGTGAACATCAGTGATCATCAGTGATTAATGGCGAACATCAGTGATCAATAGTGATAATCAGTGATCAGCGGTGATCATCAGTGATCAATAGTGAACATCAGTGATCATCAGTGATCAGTGGTGATCATCAGTGATCAATAATGATCATCAGAGATCAGTGGTGATCATCAGTGATCAGTGGCGAGTGAGAGCTGAGTCAGCCCCGTGGCACCCCTCAGGGCAGATCGACAGCGACGTTGACGCGCTGACCTGGGTAGAGAAGTGATTGTGGTCAATCAACCCCCATGACCGACGTGGCGTGGAGAGTCCTTCATCAGCAGTGGATCGACACACAAGGCCCTAAATGATGGCTTTCGCGACCACCACCATCATAGAAACAGGAGGAGGATTTTCTCCACAACTCTGGCTGCCGCCTGATGATGCCGGTTGTCGCAATTGCGGGCGAAACGCCACAATACTCGCATTGTCAATGTTGCAGTGGCTTCACTCTCCAACACACCGCTGTGCTGAACTAGTTACTAATTGGCGCGTTCTGTTTACGTGACAACCCTAAACAACGGGTTTAACGACACATTCATATTTAAGCGATCTCAGCCCCCATAGAAAAGCCCCCCATCTATTATGCTTTAAATGATCACCATACTATTAATCCTACGCCCGTGTGTCTGTCAATGTGTGTTTCAATTAAAGTAGCCGTCGGCCGATGACCCTGAACTTTAATTCGTTTTCCGAATCATTTCCTTTGTCTTGAGTGTCCTTCGCGCAACCCACGAAAGTTCACGCGCGTTTGTGTTTCGTGACCTTCGTGGCCACCCACGTCTGCGCGTGAACGTCGCTGTAGGTCTGCGGTTGTGCTCAGATCAGCCGAACAAAACATAAATCGGCCGTGGCTGCCTTACACTACGGGGGATGCGATGACAGCATTGGACACTGCATTACGTTTCGTGCACTATTTTCGATGACCCGTGTTCATCGCTGTATTTGATTGTCGTTCCTTTCGCCAACGAGACTCATCCTCTCCTCTTCCCGAGTCCTCGCCTGCTGAGCCTAAATCGACTTGGGACGCGTGCATCGATTGATCTGTCAGTTCTGTTCCTCTTGTCCGTGTGGTGTAAACTCATTTCTTTAGAACTGCTTTTCTTGTGTTCAGTTTGTTGTCCTTACCCCACACCTCCATGGGTCTGTCTCCATATCTGTGGGTCTGTCCCCCTATCTGTGGGTCTGTCCCCATATCTGTGGGTCTGTCCCCATATCTGTAGGTCTGTCCCCATATCTGTAGGTCTGTCTCCATATCTGTAGGTCTGTCCCTATATATGTAGGTCTGTCCCCATATCTGTAGGTCTGTCCCATATCTGTAGGTCTGTCCCTATATATGTGGGTCAGTCTATATATCTTTAGGTCCATGGTTCTCTGTCTCCATATCTGTGGCTCTGTCTCCGGATCCGTACATGTCTCCATATCTCTAGGTCTGGCTGTATAAATGCCTCTCTATCTCTATACCCAACTGTCTGCTTGTCGTGCGAATTTTCCATCTCCCGGTCCGCCCGCCTGTCTCGGCCCCTCTTCACGCCGTGACAAATCACCGCCCCGATCGATGCATGCGCGGTGCTGGTGGCGGTGTTGGTGCCGGTGGCGGTGCTGGTGGCGGTGGAGCCGCGTGCCGTCTCTCAAGGGCCGCGGCCAGGTGGCCCTTGAGCGCCACTCTCGTCATTAAACAGCAGAGCTACTTCACACCTCTCGACGTATCTGAGCTCTCATCTCAATGGGACATCTCGATCAGGGGGCCGCGAAGCTTCGCCACCGGCATGCGATGTAAACAGCCCTGCGGTGGAACCACGCGAAGCGCTGGACGCGCAGTCCAGAAGCCACCAGTTGGATTCCAACTCCCGGCAGTTGACGAAAGGACCCCCCCCCCCCCCTTACCCCCTCTCCTTCCCGCCCTCCACTTTTCTCCCTCCTTTCCTCACCCCTTTCTCCCCCTCCCTTATGCTCCCTCCTTTCCCCCTCCCCTTCCCCTCCTCCCCCTTTACCCCCTCCCATTTCCCCCTCCTCCTCCAGTCTTAATATTCTGATGCCGATTCAATGGCGGGTTCAATGAGATCGGCAAAACTTTGGTGGGAGTCAACAGTGGCCGTCCTATTGAATGACCCGTCCCAACCATGGCAATGTGGAATTTCCTCCACGAGGTGAGGGCAATGTTTGACGAGCACTACCTTGAACTCAACCGAGTAGCAAACCAGTTCCACCTTTTGGCTTTTATTGCACGAGTAAATTAAAGACGGTAGTCTGTTTAAAGATAGATACTCCGATACAAAATCACAAACGAGATAGTTTAACTGCGTGGGAAATAATAATTTAAAATCCCTAAAACACTCGAAACAAGTATGTATTCAAGTCGTGCGTGAAGTATAAGTGCGACCATTACTTGAGAATGTGGCCTCATAGTGGCTGTGCCAAACACGCTGAGCGATCAGAGCCGAGATCCTGGATTGCAATCCAGGTTTTGGTTTTTGTTGGGTGCAATTGTGAACAAGTCATATCGGAAATGAGTACTGTACATCTAATCGGCATGATCCTTGGTTCACTGCAACTCAAAGACCTAGTCCCCACAAGGCGTGCGTGGTGACGTTAGGAGATGTCCCGTGTGTGTGCTCCGCATCTGAAGGCCTGAAGACCAGAATCGGTGATCTCGCCGACAATGTGTTCATCAGGGAGGCAGTTCCATATCCGGCCAGCAGAGTGAAGTGGAGCTTCTGACAAAGAAGCATGTTTTGGCGAGCCCATAGCAGCGCGATTGGCATCAAAAACAAATGAAATGTTTACAAGAAACACACGGAAAGTCAACAAATGATAGTATAAAAGTGGAAAAAAACCAAAACACACTCAATATTTTTTTTCTAAGTAAAAAAAAAACAATTGCCAAATTATCCCAATGCACAACTCTCCTGAAACGTAGTCTTGAAACTCAGTGAGAGTGTGTTGGATCAAGAAAATGTATCATCATACAAATATGAATGTAAATTCCAGGCTCTGCAGTTCTCTCTATAGATTGTCATCACTGCTTTGGGGAAATGCTGCGGAATGTTAACTACCTCGCCTGGTGTACAGGAGGTCGTGGGTATGATCCCGACCCTCACGCCTGCTGTATATTTGGAGTTTGAATGTCTATCTCCCCGTGGTCACGTGGATTTTTCTCTGGGTCCTCAAATTGTTCACTACACATTTAGAATCAACATCACACGTTTATAGAGAATTTCACTGCTGCTATACATTTCCACGTGATGAATTAGCCAGTTGGTTGAGCTATCAATTGTGGCCAGGTCACTTCTGAAAAAGAGCCATATAGCCCAGTGGGCCTTACCTGGTAAAATAAAAAAACGTTTATTTTCACTATCGCCAGTGTTGTTATCCCTGCTCTTGGGGAAAGACACTGTGACTATCACCGGCGTTGCTATCACCGCTCTTAGCTACGTCCAGGGAAACTGATTGCAGTGCAGCGCAACTCCCAGCAGGGCGTAGGAAAGGAAATATCCGTAGACGAGCCGGGCCCCGGCACTCAGATGCCCCCACCTAGCCAGGTCGTCCGTGAGGTCATTCTTGGGGAGCGCGCCGAGAGCCGCGCGGGCCGCCGCGTCTCCCACCCTCGCGGCCCAAGTTCGGTGCCCGTCCGCGGCACCTACGGCCAGCCCCGGGGGGTACACGTCCCCGGGCTCCGTCCGCCCGTCCGCGGCTGCCGCGTGCAGAGCGTCGGCCTCCCCGCTCCCAACCCTCTGACGGCACTCGGCGGTGGCGGGCGGGTCGCGGCCGAGATGCCTTCTTGCGACGGAGGTCGCTGGACGCGCGAAATGCGGCGGCGCACGGGGTGGGAATGACGATGGCGACGATGATGGTTGCGCCGTTGATGATGATGATGATGATGTTGTGGACGATGTTGACAACGACGGCGCTGGAGTTTCCGACGCTGTTCCATCGACAACGGCGTCGTCTCGCGACGCACCCGGCCGCCGACTCGCTCCGCTGGGCTCCAGGTGCCGCCCGAGCGTGAGGTGAGCTGCAAACCAGTAAACCGCCGGGCAGGAGCTGGCCAGGAAGCGCGTGAGCACCTGGGCGGGAGACACAGCGAAGAGGCCACGTTCATCGGAGAAAGAAACCAGGGTAAAGGCGCAGTCCTTACCTGGTAGACAAAATATTTTAGTTTTAGTTCAGGCTAGGGTTCGGGAGCGGGGTTTATCCGCCCGTGGTTAAACCGGGTCCTCAACAAACGCAGCCGCGAGTCAATGATCTTAACCGGGTTACCAGTGAGCGCGTGATGTCGTTTGTCTAACCGAGCAGGAGACTCATTGCCGATTCGCTGTCCATTTGAGAGGAGAGGATCTTGGAGGGTTTTTTTTTATTAAAGGCGCAGCCCTGAAAGTGCTCTGCTCACGACCACTGCAGGGCTGGAAGGGCCTCCACTGCGGGTAATATTGGTCTACTATTCCACACCTGCCGTACATCTTGTAAGAGACGTGGAGTTCCCACAACCCACACTAGACCCCACCAAACACAATGCCCCGACTCACTGAGTGCTGTGTACTCGTTTCTACTGTTGCTGGGTGGACAGTGGACAGACACGGGATGGGGAGGGGGGGGTAGTTTAATGAAGCTGTCCCCATTGTTTAAACCACCGTGCCGGGAGATGGAATGGAACCAGCGAACTCGATAAATCGCTAACCCCACGGCAGCAACCCAGCTTGAGAAAGTTGCAACGCAAGATGGTTATTATTATTATTCTTTTAATTACTATTATTTTTCTAAATCACCTAAATGTCATTATTCATTATTATAACAATGTTTACATTGTTATTTTATTATTAGTGTTATTACTATTTAAACCCAATTAGAGAACGTTGCAACAGAACAGTTTTTAATGATTATTCTAATCATTATTCTTTTTCATAATTATCGAAACAATGTTATTTATGAATTATTATTTGGATAATTATTTTATTCTTCTTCTTTTACGATTTTTGTTTGTGACTATTATTATTCAAACCAAATTGTTAAAAGTTGCAACACAAAAACAAGGTGCAATGGTGTTACTATGATTAACCTCATTACACTCGTTTGCCCAGAAAGTCCTCAATGAGCCTCAAGACTCTTTTTCAGGAGGGTCCTGCCAGGTTTATGCAGTCGGGGGGCGACGCTGCAGTTGCTGTGTAATGCCAAATTAGTAATTGGATGGTCTGCAAATTACAGTGATGCTGTGTGTGTGTGTCGATGGGAGGTAACTGGCGGTGGAGGAAAGCCACGCAAAACAGGCAGAGAAGAGAAACTCCACACACTCACTCAGTCTCGCACACTGACACACACACACACACTCACAGTCTCACACACTTACACACACACACTCTGCAGAACAGGCAGAGAAGAGAAACTCCACACACTCACTCAGTCTCGCACACTGACACACACACTCACTCACAGTCTCACACACTTACACACACATTCTGCAGAACAGGCAGAGAGGAGAAACTCCACACACTCACTCAGTCTCGCACACTGACACACACACTCACTCACAGTCTCACACACTTACACACACACTCTGCAGAACAGGCAGAGAAGAGAAACTCCACACACTCACTCAGTCTCGCACACTGACACACACACTCACTCACAGTCTCACACACTTACACACACACACTCTGCAGAACAGGCAGAGAAGAGAAACTCCACACACTCACTCAGTCTCGCACACTGACACACACACACTCACTCACAGTCTCACACACTTACACACACACACTCTGCAGAACAGGCAGAGAGGAGAAACTCCACACACTCACTCAGTCTCACACACTGACATACACACACTCTGCAGAACAGGGAGAGAACACACTAACTCCACACACTCACTCACAGTCTCACACACTGACACACACAAACTCCACACACTCACTCACAGTCTCACACACTGAGACACACACACACTCACTCACAGTCTCACACACTGACACACACAAACTCCACACACTCACTCACAGTCTCACACACTGAGACACACACACACTCACTCACAGTCTCACACACTGACACACACACTCTGCAGAACAGGGAGGGAACACACAAACTCCACACACTCACTCACAGTCTCGCACACTGACACACACACACTCGGCAGAACAGGGAGAGAACACACAAACTCCACACACTCACTCACAGTCTCACACACCGACACACACACACTCTGCAGAACAGGAAGAGAACACACAAACTCCACACACTCACTCACAGTCTCACACACTGACACACACACACTCTGCAGAACAGGGAGAGAACACACAAACTCCACACACTCACTCACAGTCTCGCACAATGACACACACACACTCTGCAGAACAGGGAGAGAACACCCAAACTCCACACACTCACTCACAGTCTCACACACTTACACACACACACTCTGCAGAACAGGGAGAGAACACACAAACTCCACACACTCACTCACAGTCTCGCACGAGTCGGGAATCGAACCCAGGTGCTTCTTGCTTGTGAGACACGAGTGTTTGCCCTGTGCCGCCTTAACAACACACCTGCACGTGCATACACGTCAAGCCAAACAGCAGCATCGCTGCCAGATGCGCGACGTAGACAAACGTCGTGGAGCTGTAATATCCGGAGCGGAGGCCCATGCCCTGCAAAGCACACCGGGAGCACAGAATGAAGGTCAACATCAGCTGCAAGGAGCATCGGTAGAGACACACAGACGCTCGCTCATAATTATTTTGATATTAATCGAGGATTCAAGCTTTCGTGACTGCAGAAATTATACTCATTGTTTTTTTAGGTAAAGTCACGTGTGCAGAAATAAAATAACATTTAAATAAATAAATAAAATTAAAATAAGTCACGACGTTTCGAACGCAACACAAGCGCTCATCATCAGGTGGAAATGGGGTGAAACACACAGCGAGGGAACACACAGGGGACACCACGTACACAGCACACACGTGAAATGCGTGGTCAACCAGGTTAGTGTCTAACTGTGTTGTTGGCCGACTGGTTTGCATCACGTGATGTTTCTAAGGTCTGTTGAGTTTCTCGTCTCCCATCTTATTGTTGCATTTGCTTACGTGCAGTTTGCCGTTCTCTGTGTGCTGTGTGCGTGGTGTGCCCCTGTGTGTTCCCTCGCTGTGTGTTTCACCCCATTTCCACCTGATGATGAGCGCTTGTGTTGCGTTCGCAACGTCGTGATTTATTTAAATTTTATTTTATTTATTTAAATTTTTGTTTGATATTCCCAGCTACCTTCCACATGTGCTGCAGTCGGCATTGTGTTCAGGTCGCGAGTTCGAGTCGTATGTCCGGGTCGTGTATTCACAGTTGTACGTTTGGGTCGTGCGTTCGGGTCGCGTATTCGGGTCGCGTGTCCGAGTCGTGTGTCCGGGCCGTGTGTCGGGGTCGTGTGTTTGGGTCGTGTGTCCGGGTCGTGTGTCCGGGTCGTGTGTCCGGGCCGTGTGTCGGGGTCGTGTGTCCGGGTCGTGTGTCCGGGTCGTGTGTCCGGGTCGTGTGTTTGGGTCGTGTGTCCGGGTCGTGTGTTTGGGTCGTGTGTCCGGGTCGTGTGTTTGGGTCGTGTGTCTGGGTCGTGTGTCCGGGTCGTGTGTCCGGGTCGTGTGTTTGGGCCGTGTGTCCGGGTCGTGTGTTTGGGTCGTGTGTCCGGGTCGTGTGTTTGGGTCGTGTGTCTGGGTCGTGTGTTTGGGTCGTGTGTTTGGGTCGTGTGTCCGGGTCGTGTGTTTGGGTCGTGTGTCCGGGTCGTGTGTTTGGGTCGTGTGTCTGGGTCGTGTGTCCGGGTCGTGTGTTTGGGTCGTGTGTCCGGGTCGTGTGTTTGGGTCGTGTGTCCGGGTCGTGTGTTTGGGTCGTGTGTCCGGGTCGTGTGTTTGGGTCGTGTGTCCGGGTCGTGTGTTTGGGTCGTGTGTCTGGGTCGTGTGTCCGGGTCGTGTGTTTGGGTCGTGTGTCCGGGTCGTGTGTCCGGGTCGTGTGTTTGGGCCGTGTGTCCGGGTCGTGTGTCCGGGTCGTGTGTCCGGGTCGTGTGTCTGGGCCGTGTGTCGGGGTCGTGTGTTTGGGCCGTGTGTTTGGGTCGTGTGTCCGGGTCGTGTGTTTGGGTCGTGTGTTTGGGTCGTGTGTCGGGGTCGTGTGTTTGGGCCGTGTGTTTGGGTCGTGTGTCCGGGTCGTGTGTCCGGGTCGTGTGTCCGGGTCGTGTGTCTGGGCCGTGTGTCGGGGTCGTGTGTTTGGGCCGTGTGTTTGGGTCGTGTGTCCGGGTCGTGTGTCCGGGTCGTGTGTCCGGGTCGTGTGTCTGGGCCGTGTGTCGGGGTCGTGTGTTTGGGCCGTGTGTTTGGGTCGTGTGTCCGGGTCGTGTGTTTGGGTCGTGTGTTTGGGTCGTGTGTCGGGGTCGTGTGTTTGGGCCGTGTGTTTGGGTCGTGTGTCCGGGTCGTGTGTTTGGGTCGTGTGTCCGGGTCGTGTGTTTGAGTCGTGTGTCGGGGTCGTGTGTCCGGGTCGTGTGTCTGGGTCGTGTGTCCGGGTCGTGTGTTTGGGTCGTGTGTCCGGGTCGTGTGTTTGGGTCGTGTGTTTGGGTCGTGTGTCCGGGCCGTGTGTCGGGGTCGTGTGTCTGGGTCGTGTGTCTGGGTCGTGTGTCTGGGTCGTGTGTTGGGGTCGTGTGTTTGAGTCATGTGTCTGGGTCGTGTGTTTGAGTCGTGTGTCTGGGTCGTGTGTCTGGGTCGTGTGTCCGGGTCGTGTGTCTGGGTGGTGTGTTGGGGTCGTGTGTTTGAGTCGTGTGTCGGGGTCGTGTGTCTGGGTCGTGTGTCTGGGTCGTGTGTCTGGGTCGTGTGTTGGGGTCGTGTGTTTGAGTCGTGTGTCCGGGTCGTGTGTCTGGGTCGTGTGTTGGGGTCGTGTGTTTGAGTCGTGTGTCTGGGTCGTGTGTCTGGGTCGTGTGTCCGGGTCGTGTGTCTGGGTGGTGTGTTGGGGTCGTGTGTTTGAGTCGTGTGTCGGGGTCGTGTGTCTGGGTCGTGTGTCTGGGTCGTGTGTCTGGGTCGTGTGTTGGGGTCGTGTGTTTGAGTCGTGTGTCCGGGTCGTGTGTCTGGGTCGTGTGTTGGGGTCGTGTGTTTGAGTCGTGTGTCTGGGTCGTGTGTTGGGGTCGTGTGTTTGAGTCGTGTGTCTGGGTCGTGTGTCTGGGTCGTGTGTCCGAGTTGTGGAACTCGGGAGCCGTGCGGGCCCCGCGGCGTGGGAACCGGGGGATACGACGCACGCACCGAAGCCACTGCGGGTGGCGGTAATGGTGGTGGCAGTGATGATGGCGATAGTGGCGGTGATGATGGTGGTGGTAGCAGTGGTGGTTATGGTGTCGGCCATGTCGGTAGCAATGGCGGTGATGGCGGTGATGGCGATGGTGGCTTTTCAACAGCGACGCACACCGCACCGGAAGCTCGCCGCTCACCGCTCGCCAGGTCTCACCTCCTCTCTGCCCGCACCGTCCTGCACGAGCCCAAGCCTCAGGGACAGCCGCCAGTTTCGCCTCGCGTAGCTCCACACGGCTGCGGCGGCCAGCACGGCCATAGGCGCCGCCAGCGCGAAGTTGGGCAGCTGGCGCGCCGTGTAGTAGCGCAGGAAGCCCACGTCCCAGTGCGTCCGCTGGACGTGCCCGTACAGCGTCGGCCAGCCGGCATGGCAGTACTCAGCCGGGGATTCTGCGGGGCGCGCAGCCCCCCGCACCACGTAGCCCCTGCTCCGCGCGTACGCCAGGAGGCGCTCGGGCAACGCGACGCCGTCACCGCTCCGGCAGAAGACGTCGCGGCCGTAGGCCTGGAAGGCGACGAACGGCGCGGCGACGACCGCCGCCGAGACTGCCGCCAACGCGACGGAGAGGACGTCCGACGCGTAGGCCCGCCCGCGGCGGCGGCATGAGTCGGCGCAGAGCGAGAGCGCTCGGTGCACGGGGAACCCGGCCGACACGACGCCGTTGGCCCGGGCCGCCGCCGCCAGGGCGAAGAGGGCGACGCTCGTGCCGCGCCGGCGCAGCTCGAGCGCGAGCGCCGCCGCGAAGGAGAGGCACGCGAAGAGGCTCTCCGAGTAGGCGGCCGACATGAAGACGGAGGCCGGCGTGACGCAGAAGAGCAGCGCGGCGCGCAGCGCCAGGGCCTCGTCGCGCAGCGCGGCCGCCCCGAGGCCGTAGAGGGCGGCCGCCGCCGCCGCGAACGCGACGGCGTTCAGGCAGACGGCGGAGAGGATCAGGCGGCCGCGGACGTCCGGGTGGCCGGAGCCGCCGGAGCCACCGACGTTCTCGTCGTGGTCGCCGACGCCGACGAACGCCAGCGTTCTAACGAGCGCGGGGAAAAGCGGGAAGAAGGCTACGCTCTGCTCGTAGGCGTAGCCGTGCTCGGCCACGAACAGGAAGTATGCGGCGTCCCAGCGCGCGAGGCCGCCCAGCGACCACTCCACGGCGCGCGAGAAGGGAGACTCGTGGGCGGACGGCGGGGGAGCAAACGCACCCGGGTCGTGGTCGGGGATCAGCAGGTTGAGTGGCAGCTGGTGACGGGGAGGTGGCGGTGGGAGGAGGGAAGAGGAGGAAAAACGGATGGGAGTTGGGGGGCAAGAAGAGGTGAAAAATTAGAATGAGCGGGCGCTGGCCACGGAACGTTCACTCTCGTGGCACCACTCCGTCCGCCCACACGCTTCCCCCCTCAGCCCGAGTGCGGGCGATGTGCTGTGCATGTCGGGATGGGGGGTGAGGGCTGCCACCAAGTGTTATGATACACAATTATACATCAAGTCCCTGTTGGCCTTCAGTTTGTTATTTCTACCCCCATGTTATCCGAACTGCGCTGTCGGTGTGGTCTCGTGACAACGAGGTTACGTTAAGATCTCATCGCACAGTGCAACACTTGGGCGTTACAGAGGGGCCCGTGAAAGCAGACACCGCAGAGCTACCTCCCGAGATCCACTCCAGTGACCTCTGGTGCACACACAGCAGAGGGCAGCACTCTCCAACCCGGTTTGCCATATGAGAGTAATGTTGGGCCCAGGATAGTCAAGCCGATATTTGTAATTCTCAAAGCATCCATTGGTGATCATTTATGCAGCCACTGGACACCAGGCTGGAAGCATCAAACTCAATTCCACAGGCAGCTTGCCAGGATTCGAACCCCGGATCCCATCGGTGACAGCTCAGGGCTCTGACCTCTGATCCCATCGGCCACCTCCCCCATGCTGACTGCCTTAGTGACGAGGGCTCGGCTCCAACACTCAGGCCTCAGCTACTCGGCTGCTTCCAAAGATGCGTTGAGCGAGCGGCTCAGCAGCAGCTCACCTCAGGCTCGGCTCATGAATCCTGAGCGTGGCTCATACCGCGTGTGATGATACGCAACTATACATCAAGTTGAGCCGGGGCGCCACGGTGGCAGGATGTTAACTGCTTCGACTGGTATACAGGTCTTGAGTTCGATCTCTACCCGGACGGTCCGCTGCATATATGGAGTTTGCGTGACTCTCTCGCTATGGTCGCGTGGATTTTACTCCAGGTCCTCCGGTTTTTCCCTCCAAATGTTGAATCGACGTGCGTTTAGCTGCTACGTGATAACCGCCACTTCGTTAGCTCAATGGGCCTTACCTGATTTAAAAAAATAGTGAGAGTAGTATGCGTGGCTTTGAGCCACAGCTCAATGGAGCCAAAGGCAAGCCTGAGCCGAGACGAGCAACACAAGACGTGGGAGTGCTCGCAGGGTAAGGTGCGCGGGTCCCCCACCTGCAGCAGCAGCGTGGCGACCCTCGTGAAGACAGCAAACCGCACCACCACCCACACGGGCGAGGGGGAGGGCTTCATGGAGGAGCGACGCCAAAGCCACGCTCGGCGCACGGTGCAGCGTGGACCTTGCTGTGGACACGCACACAGACAAAGATCCCCCTTGCAGCCTTAACAGGCTGTGGGGCAAATGCTGTTAGCAAGCAGCACCTATGAAGGCCGGCACAGTACACGAGGGGGTTGGTGGACAACCTCACGCCCAGCCACCTTTGTCTCCCCAGTGGTGATGTTCACACACCACACCCGGTACTCATTAGAGGCTGAGTCGACGTAGGGGAGGCCCAGGACCGGTTCAGATAATCGTCACTGGTGTTGGCCATGAGCAGGAATCGAATTCTGGTTGCTGGGTTCGTAGCGCAGCGCGGTTACCGCTCCACCACCGCTCCCCACAGACACACAGACACAACAACCGCCATTCGCCACTAAGTGACGGTGACGTCACCACGGCACTTGTGCCAGGCCATGTGCACGTTGAGGCCACGCTGGCAGGTCACGGGGCAGACCCAGGTGCCACGGGTCGACTGAGAAGAGTGGCCGATGCACCACCTTTGCCCCTTACTGTGCAAATTGCTGTACTTTATCCTCCCGGCGCTCAGCTTGTTGTTGTGAGTGTCGCTCCTCCGCCCTCCGTTGTTGTTGGAGGGCGACTGCCTCCAACTGCCCAGTAGCGTCCTTCACGAGCCTCCTCCACAGAGGCCGATCGTGACACCGCTGGTACCAGTCATCGGCAAGTCCTCTCAGCTCCACGCCCTCCTGTACCACATCACTCCATCTCTTCTCTAGCCCGTGCCGCGCCCGTTGAGCTAACCGAACAAAATCTGTTTAGGCATGCGGTGGCTGGGCATGCGAGCTACATGAACCAGCCAACGCAGACACATAGACACACTGACAGATACACTGACACACAGACACACTGACTGGGTCAGTGCATCCGTCAATTACAGGAAAAAGTGTATAATAGCCGACGTTTCGGGCAATGGCTCTTCTTCATAGCTATCGCATAGACCAGTGGTTCTTAACCTTTACTGCAGCCCTGCACCCCTTTTGGTTCTCAATTGTAAACAAATATATGTTCATAATGAGGTTTGATGAAACAAAGTTGTACTTGCGTGCCTGTGCTTAATTTGTTTTCGATGCTTTACCGTCTTAAAAAAAGAATCTGGCCATGCCTCGCTACCCCCAGGGGGTTGCGAGATGCACCCCAGGTGAAGAAGAACCACCGGCTTAGAGCAGTGGGTCATCACTGCAAGGCCCCCATCATCATCATTGTCACCGTGCTGCTGTTAAAACACCCCAATGGTTTCAACTGGTGTGACGGCTCTCACTCACACGAGTGATGACGATGTATACTGATTACACTGGTCAACAAAATAAAAATATTCTGGCCTGGACTTTTGCAGCTGTTTTAGACTAATTTTAGAGTGCTGATTCCAAATCTGATCTCAGATTTGCTCTATCACATGTCATTTTTAAATCCTTTATATTAAGTTCGCTTGCTTGCTTGCGTGCTTGCTTGCTTACGACCGTGCAAATCTTTCGGCCGTTTTTTAACCCACTTCCCGTGATCCAATCGAGCTGACATTTTGCACACAGACTCGTTGTGCGAGACAATTAATGTTCGTGAAAATTTTTTTCCAAAATTTTACACTGTCTAGGGAAAACAAATTAAATATTTAATTACCAATTGCTTAATACTGGCAGACAATCATCTGACCCATAGGTGGCAGCCATCTCAAGCCAGAGGACGAGAGGACTCTAGCCGCCACGCATATAAAGGATTTATAGTGAAAAACTTTGTTTTTACGGATTATACTTATTATGCTATCGGCATACCCAATTTTCATTGATTTTACCCGAAATTAACTCTGTCACTTATGATTGCAAGTTGTTGCGAGTCAGCGACTGCTTTAGTGTTAAAATATGGTGCTGTATTTTTAGGATAGTGTGTTTATAATATCATTTTATGTAGATACCCACATTTATTTAATATTTTTCTTCTGAAGTTTTTATTGAAAATGCAATATTTGATATCTCAAAAACCTGATGTGATAGACAAAAACTGATGCCAGATTTGGAATCAGCACCCCAAAATTACCTTATAACCGTTGCAATACCTCGTGCCAGAAAAAGTGTGTTGACCAGTGTTATCGGTGAAGAACACTGCCATTTCAATACGGGCACAAAAAACGTCCTTGTTTGTGTTTCTCCCTTGCGATGGGACTCTGTAAGATGAACGTTGAGATGTGTTAGGGGCATGGAGTGACCAATGAGGTCTGGCATGGTCTGTGATAGGGGTTGACAGGTCTGCAATAGACACAGGGGGTGACCAGTTGACCGATGTGGTCACGCAATACTGAAGTCCACGTGTCAACGCCATCGCCCTAATGATCACCTCACACTCGATGTGATCACACTCCGATTACCCCAATATCGTGCGACGTCGCATTGGGGCCGTCCATAAATGACGTCACGAGATTTTGGACGATTTTTGACCCCCCCCCCCCCTTCGTCACACGGCGTCACAAAAAGTCAGACCCCCTCCCTCTCAAATATGACGTCACAAAGCTCTGCCCCCCCCCCCCCCCCCACTAAAAAAATAAAACATGCTTCAAATCGCTCTAAACTATTGTCATTGTAGTGCGTATTTAATGTGGCGCTGCACTCTGATGTTGTAGGAGAAAACATTTATTAAAAAGTCTATTCAATTAAGTGGAACGCGTTGTCTATATTTATTTAAAGTTGCGCCATTTTGATGTGACGTCACAATTCTCCCCCCCCCCCCAGGTGCGTGACGTCATTTATGGACGGCGCCGTTCGTCGTCAACGCCGAATTACTTAATCTTGATTCTAGATTTGAAGCTTTCGTGACTGCAAGGATTCATATGCTTAGGTTTTTTCGGTATATATATTTTTTATTTTACTTTTATTAATTTACATTTTTTTCACCTACGTGACTTTACCGAAAAAAACCTAAGAATACTTCATCTTGATTTGATCTTAATTAATTCTCAAGCCACACGAAGCTTCGCATCGAGTTCAGACTGTGCATTTAATAACAAAATCGTAATACATTAACCGCACGGTTTAAATGCCACTCGCTAATAGAAGGTACACATTTTTCGATTTAAAGCTTTCGTGACTGCAGGGATTCATCTTCTTGGTTCTTTCGGTAAAGTCACGTAGAAGGGAAGTAATAAAATAATAAAAATTAAAACATAATAAAATAATTCTCACGACGTTTCGGCTACAACGCAAGTAGCCGTCTTCTTCACCTGAAGACGGCTGCTTGCGTTGTAGCCGAAACGTCGTGAGAATTATTTTATTATGTTTTATTTTTATTATTTTATTACTTCCCTTCTACGTGACTTTGCCGAAAGAACCAAGAAGAAGGTACACATTGTTTTCGCGTCGATTACATCTCACCAATGTGAATGATTCGTGAACTCACCAACTCCGATTCGTGAAGTGGGTTTACGAAAACAATCCGCGGCGAATGTAAGCGTCTACCTGGGCACAGGTGACGATGCCGGGTGTCCGCTGGCGATTACAAGCACCAGCTGCGTCAGGACCGCTTTGCGAGGACGTCTATCGATATGGATATGAACGCGATCTTAATGAACCTAACGAAGAACACAAAGTCTAACTTTGTTGTTACAAGATTGGAGGATGGTGGGTCACGGCTGCGCCCATTGAGCGGTGACTGCGCTCCCGGAACACAAAACGCCGAGCGCCGGAACCAAAAACGGCGTGAGGGCACCCGGACGTGCGACGCCTGCGTGCAGCACAAGACGGATCACTCGCGCACAAGGCTGCCCAGTCACAGTAACTCAGTCTACACAGTGACCACAACTGCCCAGTCTACACAGTGACCACAACTGCCCAGTCAACACAGTGACCACAGCTGCCCAGTCTACACAGTGACCACAACTGCCCAGTCTACACAGTGACCACAACTGCCCAGTCTACACAGTGACCACAACTGCCCAGTCTACACAGTGACCACAACTGCCCAGTCTACACAATGACCACAGCTGCCCAGTCTACACAGTGACCACAACTGCCCAGTCTACACAGTGACCACAACTGCCCAGTCTACACAGTGACCACAACTGCCCAGTCATCACAGTGACCACAGCTGCCCAGTCTACACAGTGACCACAGCTGCCCAGTCTACACAGTGACCACAACTGCCCAGTCTACACAGTGACCACAACTGCCCAGTCTACACAGTGACCACAACTGCCCAGTCTACACAGTGACCACAGCTGCCCAGTCAACACAGTGACCACAACTGCCCAGTCATCACAGTGACCACAACTGCCCAGTCTACACAGTGACCACAGCTGACCAGTCAACACAGTGACCACAGCTGCCCAGTCTACACAGTGACCACAGCTGCCCAGTCTACACAGTGACCACAACTGCCCAGTCAACACAGTGACCACAGCTGCCCAGTCTACACAGTGACCACAACTGCCCAGTCTACACAGTGACCACAGCTGCCCAGTCTACACAGTGACCACAGCTGACCAGTCAACACAGTGACCACAGCTGCCCAGTCTACACAGTGACCACAGCTGCCCAGTCTACACAGTGACCACAGCTGCCCAGTCAACACAGTGACCACAACTGCCCAGTCAACACAGTGACCACAACTGCCCAGTCAACACAGTGACCACAGCTGCCCAGTCATCACAGTGACCACAGCTGCCCAGTCAACACAGTGACCACAGCTGCCCAGTCAACACAGTGACCACAGCTGCCCAGTCAACACAGTGACCACAGCTGCCCAGTCAACACAGTGACCACAGCTGCCCAGTCAACACAGTGACCACAGCTGCCCAGTCAACACAGTGACCACAGCTGCCCAGTCAACACAGTGACCACAGCTGCCCAGTCACAGTGACAACAGCTGCCCAGTCTACACAGTGACCACAGCTGCCCAGTCAACACAGTGACCACAGCTGCCCAGTCAACACAGTGACCACAGCTGCCCAGTCAACACAGTGACCACAGCTGCCCAGTCAACACAGTGACCACAGCTGCCCAGTCAACACAGTAACCACAACTGCCCAATCACAGTGACCACAACTGCCCAATCTATACAGTGACCACAACTGCCCAGTCAACACAGTAACATCAGCTGCCCAGTCACAGTGACCACAGCTGCCTAGTCAACACAGTGACTACAGCTGCCCAGTCAACACAGTGACCAAGGCTGCCCAGTCAACACAGTGACCACGGCTGCCCAGTCTACACAGTGACCACGGCTGCCCAGTCACAGTGACCACAGCTGCCCAGTCTACACAGTGACCACAGCTGCCCAATCACAGTGACCACAGCTGCCCAGTCTACACAGTGACCACAGCTGACCAGTCTACACAGTGACCACAGCTGCCCAGTCACAGTGACCACAGCTGCCCAGTCTACACAGTGACCACGGCTGCCGTGTCTACACAGTGACCACAACTGCCCAGTCTACACAGTGACCACAGCTGCCCAGTCAACACAGTGACCACAACTGCCCAGTCATCACAGTGACCACAACTGCCCAGTCTACACAGTGACCACAGCTGACCAGTCAACACAGTGACCACAGCTGCCCAGTCTACACAGTGACCACAGCTGCCCAGTCTCCACAGTGACCACAACTGCCCAGTCAACACAGTGACCACAGCTGCCCAGTCTACACAGTGACCACAACTGCCCAGTCTACACAGTGACCACAGCTGCCCAGTCTACACAGTGACCACAGCTGACCAGTCAACACAGTGACCACAGCTGCCCAGTCTACACAGTGACCACAGCTGACCAGTCTACACAGTGACCACAGCTGCCCAGTCAACACAGTGACCACAACTGCCCAGTCAACACAGTGACCACAACTGCCCAGTCAACACAGTGACCACAGCTGCCCAGTCATCACAGTGACCACAGCTGCCCAGTCAACACAGTGACCACAGCTGCCCAGTCAACACAGTGACCACAGCTACCCAGTCAACACAGTGACCACAGCTGCCCAGTCAACACAGTGACCACAGCTGCCCAGTCAACACAGTGACCACAGCTGCCCAGTCAACACAGTGACCACAGCTGCCCAGTCAACACAGTGACCACAGCTGCCCAGTCACAGTGACAACAGCTGCCCAGTCTACACAGTGACCACAGCTGCCCAGTCAACACAGTGACCACAGCTGCCCAGTCAACACAGTGACCACAGCTGCCCAGTCAACACAGTGACCACAGCTGCCCAGTCAACACAGTGACCACAACTGCCCAATCACAGTGACCACAACTGCCCAATCTATACAGTGACCACAACTGCCCAGTCAACACAGTAACATCAGCTGCCCAGTCACAGTGACCACAGCTGCCTAGTCAACACAGTGACTACAGCTGCCCAGTCAACACAGTGACCAAGGCTGCCCAGTCAACACAGTGACCACGGCTGCCCAGTCTACACAGTGACCACGGCTGCCCAGTCACAGTGACCACAGCTGCCCAGTCTACACAGTGACCACAGCTGCCCAGTCACAGTGACCACAGCTGCCCAGTCTACACAGTGACCACAGCTAACCAGTCTACACAGTGACCACAGCTGCCCAGTCACAGTGACCACAGCTGCCCAGTCTACACAGTGACCACGGCTGCCCAGTCACAGTGACCACAGCTGCCTAGTCAACACAGTGACCACAGCTGACCAGTCTACACAGTGACCACAGCTGCCCAGTCAACACAGTGACCACAGCTGCCCAGTCACAGTGACCACAGCTGCCCAGTCTACACAGTGACCACGGCTGCCCAGTCACAGTGACCACAGCTGCCCAGTCAACACAGTGACCACAGCTGCCCAGTCAACACAGTGACCACAACTGCCCAGTCACAGTGACCACAGCTGCCCAGTCAACACAGTGACCAAGGCTGTCCAGTCAACACAGTGACCACAGCTGCCCAGTCAACACAGTGACCACGGCTGCCCAGTCAACACAGTGACCACAGCTGTCCAGTCAACACAGTGACCACAACTGCCCAGTCAACACAATGACCACAGCTGCCCAGTCTACACAGTGACCACAGCTGCCCAGTCAACAGAGTGACTACAGCTGCCCAGTCTACACAGTGACCACAGCTGCCCAGTCAACACAGTGACCACAGCTGCCCAGTCTACACAGTGACCACAGCTGCCCAGTCAACACAGTGACCAAGGCTGCCCAGTCACAGTGACCACAGCTGCCCAGTCTACACAGTGACCACAACTGCCCAGTCAACAAAATAACAACAGCTGACCAGTCAACACAGTGACCACAGCTGCCCAGTCTACACAGTGACCACAGCTGCCCAGTCAACACAGTGACCACAGCTACCCAAACTACACAGTGACCACAGCTGCCCAGTCAACACAGTGACCACAGCTGCCCAGTCAACACAGTGACCACAACTGCCCAGTCAACACAGTAACAACTCAGTCAACACAATAACATCAGCTGCCCAGTCAACACAGTGACCACAGCTGCCCAGTCTACACAGTAACAACAGCTGCCCAGTCTACACAGTGACCACAGCTGCCCAGTCAACACAGTGACCACAGCTGCCCAGTCAACACAGTGACCACAACTGCCCAGTCAACACAGTAACAACTCAGTCAACACAATAACATCAGCTGCCCAGTCAACACAGTGACCACAGCTGCCCAGTCACAGTGACCACGGCTGCCCAGTCAACACAGTGCCGTATCGGTTTTTTTGGAGCAAAAACCGAATGAATTCAGAATAATAATAAAATGTTACCGGTTTTCCGTGCAGATTCGCAATATATCGAGTTGTGAACGCCACGCGTTTAACTTCGTGACTGAGAAAGGGCAGCAGCTGCCACCGTGGTGGTGGTTGTGTATTGGTCAGAATCAGAATATTTGAACTGGAGGAATCCGATGAGCTGTAAAGCTTTTTTTCACAGATGTCCAATAGGGGAGGGTCAGAAAGTTACAAAGGCTAACAAGCCTGGCAAATTTTCAACCATCTATGCGTTCACCTGTTATTTACCGACTCAAGTGTTGCATTGCATTACGTTTCCAAATTTTACTAAATTTGTTTTCTCAAACTTCCTATTTCTCTCTCTAAAATATGCCAGGCTTGTTTGTCTATATGTCAATTCGTTTTTTCTCTCCCCCGGCCGCTACGGGGTGGATTTCCACACAACTCTCTCATTGACATGCAAATTTTTCTACCCCCCCCCCCTCTCTCTCTATTTAAGGCCTCGACACAGAGGCGTTGTTTCTCTGTGTGCCTATGTGTGTGCCTCTCTCGGTGTGTCTCTGTGTTTTCTCTGTCTGCTTGTGTGTCTGTCTATGTTTATCCGTGTCTGTGTTTTGTCTCTTTCTCAACTTTAGCAATCTTTGGAAGAACGTAATCAACCAGGTAGGGTGTTGACTGTTGTGTTAGCCGACTCTCTGTGTTGTATTGCATTATATTTCTGAGTTTACTAGGTTTGTTTTCTCATTCATTCATACCTGATGACGATTGCTTGTGTTGCAACCGAAACGTCGTATTCTATTATTTAATTTATTTCCTTCATAAACAGTTTGCCTTTAGAAGCTAACCCCCCTTTACCTGATGACGACCGCTTGTGTTGCGATCGAAACGTCGTAGTTTTTTTTGTTATTTTCTTTGAGTCACGAGCTACTTAAAGAAGTGGCTCGGAGTTCCACGATGC